TCTTACTTTTTAGTGTATGCAATAGGTTGTTCCATAAACTAAAAAAGTTCTGGAATTCGAACCTTCTTTCAAACTGTACTAATAATTTAAAATAACATCATATACTTCATTTCAAACTGTCATCGACGGATATTTCAGACGTCAATCCCGTAATCGTAACATTATGATACATATGACGGGTGAAACTAAATAAAATGTAAAAATGTTCATAAAATGAAAACTACTGGGCCAAACTACTTAAAAAATTTTACGGGACCAAATGGCAACTATTCTGCATCAAAATAAAGAAGAATCACTTAAATCGGATCATAAATCTCCGCGTAATCGGTGTACATACATCGAACAAAATATACCAATCGAATTGATAACCTCCTCCTTTTGAAGTCGGTTAAAAACAAATGTATCGTATCGTGTCGGTATCACAATGGCAGTATTTCGACAATGTTCGAGACAGGAATAGAGTTTGTTATCGCAGAGGATGAAGTGCATTAACATAATCGCGATAACGTTACGTGTTTGACCTTGGCATTGTAGAGGTCGACTGGTTCGCACCATGCGTTCGTTTTTCAAGGGTCTTCAAAAAACTAAGTTCTCAATTCGGATAGTATTTTTTGTTTGTTATCTCACAAATTCGTGAGTTAGGAACCGATTTTAAAAATTCTTTTTGCATTGAGATCCGGTTTAACTGCAACGTATGATCTGATATTAATTTCTTTTACTCCGGAAAACTTTGAAAAATCCAATAGAAATATGTTTTAGTTTTTTTAAATATTTATTAAACTCTTTTGAGCCCTGATGATTTGCAAAGTTTGCACGCCATTCAGACCTGAGGTCTATAAGCAATAATTCAAAATGCAAGTTCTATATCATTTGTATCATAATATAAGTTCCATTACTGTTCCTATCTCTTTTTGAAACTATTAAATTACAAAAGAATACTTTATAAATGAAACCTAGACTACTTCCATTCATGATAAATTATTTTTCATGTTTGTCTCTCCATTTTTTCTCAGAATATATGTGATGCATATTTTGATACTAATCCTAAAATAGTTTCAGTAATGAAAGTTCAAATATAAATCTAAAACATTAAATGGGTCTTGGCAAAAATCGTCACGCGGTGACATCTAACGATCTTTGGACTTTGAAGCTGAACCAACGTTCAATGTATGCGGCTAGGTATACAAGGAATATTCTTTTTTGTTTACATCGTTTAAAACTATGTCATGTACAGAATTAAACTATTTCTGGGAATTCAAAAAATTTTTAGTTAACACAAAAAATAATCAGCTATTTCTAAAAGTCTAGTTACTACATTTTGAATTAAAAAAAGTCACATCATTAGTTAAATATGCCTGATATTAAATTATTTTCGTACGTGATTATTTAATATTTCACAACAATTTAATGTACGTATTATTGCACACATAAGAGTGAACGAAACTATGAAATGAAAACAGATTTATTGCCGGACATCGGACGACATCCAATACTGATGGCTTCTAAATTGAAAAATTACGCCAATTTAGGAGGTCGTTGTCCCTGACGTCATGGCGTGCCCTGCAGGACGGGCCAATCGCGTCGTTCCTCGCCCGCCAACCAGCCAATGGGGAGGCTGGCGTCTTTTATCGATTCAACGTCTGGTTTAATAAAATGATATGGCATGACAGACGCACGAACCCGTATGTGTGAATTAACGATGAAAATGTTTACTGTGGTCGCTCCAATATTGTTTGTTATCATCCATGCGTATCGCAATCGATACATATTACCAAAATAACGAAAATGTTTAGTTTAGCGCTTGAGCATAGTGCAGCAAAATAGTAGAGCAAAATACGTATTTTACGGAGATTTCTGATGTAGGAAACAGGCATTTTGTCTGTTCATTGCCCTATGTTCTTACGTCTTAACGACTCTCCTTTATATTCGGCTGAAAAGGCTGTATTCATTTATGCTATATTTAAACTTATATATTTAATATAAGATAGTACGCATAGGCGTAGTGGATAGTGAACAGTGAACCTATATTTTACGTCAGTGGGTGTGCGTTTCATTCCCCCCCTACTGGAACTGAAATATTTATAAATATAAATAATTTTACAAAACTAAATTGAAAGAATTGAATGATTTTTTCATAAGAATGACAATTATTTAACCACGTAAAGATTGACCCGTTAGTGTTAATATTAAAAAGCATAGTTCCCGGGCTTAATATTCTATTCTCAGCCGGTCATTTACGCAGTTAGCCAGCAAAACAGTTAAGTCTCTGAAGACTGGAACTGTCTTGGAATGCGGTAGCGCTTCAGAATAAAGACCACCGTCATTATGTTAGTTAAATGATTAAGACTTGTAACGCGACGTTGTGACAACGAATGAAAAAGTCTCTGAATGTATGAATCAGTCCATTGTAGTTGTATAGGATGTTATGTTATGTTTCTTTTTTATTTAATTACTTTGTTTGAAAAATATTTTCTTTATGTATGGATTTTTCAACGTTTTATATTTTTTTATGATTATTGGCAAGTAGCGTTAGACGTGTGTTTATTTATTGTCGCTAGTTATATAGCCTGTAAAAATAACGCTAGATGTAGCCGCTCTTGGAATAATTAGGATTCTTAACTTACCTCATCCTCCTATGCACAGTACTGCATTCGGATACAATAAAGCTCATGGGAATTGGGAATTCGCTATCGGCATTAAGAGATGCCCTGGGGAGGGGCACGCCGCGTGGGATTACCAATAAGGAATCTTAACAGGCAACTTCCTTTGGGAGTAGATCTTCCGATGATTCATGCGCATCGGCTTAGGCCACCTACGATATCCTTTAACACGCATCCCTCCCGATGCTGCACCTTTCTTGTTTGTGACGTATTTGTATTACTATTATATATCGGTGACGGTAACATTCAAGTTCGATCAATATTGCAATTTATGGATACGTGGCGTGTGACAAACACGGCACTAATAATAAATTGTCGACCAATGAACACGAATATTGTCAAATATCAGCGGCGGTCTATCAAATATTTGACAAACTCTTCAAATGTGTCCCTATTTGAACATTTCCCGTAATATTTTTTATTTTTTTTTTATAGATTTCGTTGATTCTGTTTGTGTCCTAGTTTACAATTGCGAGGAGTACGCGAATTCATGCCCCACGATTACGCGAAAAATGTCGGCGATACTTAAAAGCAATTTCCACGTAAACGAATCAATTGCACAAATTTCGTTTCCATTGACCAAGATTTACGCGATAACACAGCTACTAAATTAAACTATATTTTCGTAATTTCCGAAAATCAATATTGGAACCATGTTAAATAGGTAATTGATTAACAAATCTAATTTTGGAATATCCTACAAAACATTACAAGAATAACGCGAATAGAGTTAAAAAGAAGTGCAAAAAATGTTTTTGTTATTCCAAAATCTTAAGTTTGAGAACCAATAAAATGTTCAATTCATCTTCACTGCGTATTTAGCCCGAATGGTTTTCTGTACTAATTTATTACTAATTCGACTAAAGGAGTATCTTGAATTTTGTTTTTTGCATCTCTTTAGCTTCGCCTTGAATAAAACGTAAATGGTTACGCAAGAGTGATAAATCGATCCAACCTTTGTATGTTCTTTCCTCAATATACATGTAAAGCAAATAATGTTTCAGGCTAACCTCGGACAGACGAGACGTTTCAAGGTCAAACTCTCAAAGTATAATTTGACAATGATTTGTATTCGCCCATGCGAGCTATCGATTTCACACCTCCATTATATATTTCATTTTATGTATGTGAAATAGATCATAGCGCGTTTTCTTGAAAATTTACATGAAGTTTGGTAACTAGGTACTGCATGCAGTAGAGAATTCGTAATCTTATATTTACCATATAAATGAAACTAATTTTACGGATTTATTTTTGATTTCAATTACTTAATTTAAATTTAACGCCCGTAATAGCGTAAATAGCAGAAATTATCATCGATTATTTACCATCTAGAAATACCTCTGTAATAATATCGCCTGGTGGTAAACCGGTTTTATTTAAAATCCATACCATAAGCGCGTTTGGGTTGATAGTCCCGGTAATAATAGGAATTTATTTCTTTCATTCGCCACAAATCTATATATCTATACAGATAAATAAAATTAGAGTGTTTGTTTGTAATATTAAAATAACCGCTTTTTACTAAATGCATATGGATGTATACACGATATATATACCAAAATATTTTTTTTACAATTTTTGTATGTCTGCCTGTCTGTTTGTCCCGGCTAATCTCTGAAACGGCAGGACCGATTTTGACGGGACTCACTGACAGATAGCCGATGTAATTAGTAGTAACTTAGGCTACTTTTATTTTAGAATTTTTATTATTTTAAATTCAAAAATTTACTCTCATCATTTTTTTCCAACGCGCCAAAAGAAGTTTAACTTGTGATGTGAAACTTGAAAATGTTACATTTTCTCAAAATTTCTTATACAGGGTGGCTTTTCTAAAGGTGCCCAAATTCACACGAGGTTCAGACTCAGATGGTATAATCGTTTATTGAAATAAAAACAAACTTTTTTTTTTCAAAAAAATTGCATTTTATTCCTTAAAAATAGAACTTGTTGACAATGCGGTAGTCATTCAGTCATTAATGTGTCATATACTTTTAAAAATAAACTTGTGTTAGTTATGAATAATTGCGCGTAAAAAATAAATAAATGAGTTGCCCATAAATCACGCACTTTTTGAGATAAGTTAAAATGAATGTAATTAATTAATTACGAATGCTTTTAAATATTTGTCATTTTATATAACCTAGACCGAACCTTTAACATAGATAATGTCTAGAATTTAATTAAAAATGGATACACTTAGAAAAGCCTCCCTGTAGATTCCATTGAATGGTATTGTTATTGTACCGAGGTGATATCGTTAACCATTCCTAGTCCTCCTCAAAATACCTCATAGATCCCATTGAATGGCATTACTGTACCGGGGCCATGTCGTTTCAGGCGTCGGTCTGATCACCCGAAAGGCCGCCAACGCGGTCACGCCTACTGTGGAGGTGCGACAGGACGGTGACACCTACGTGCTGGTCACGTCGTCCACCTTCAAGACCACCGAGGTGAAGTTCAAGCCCGGCGAGGAGGTTGATGAGGAGCGCGCCGATGGAGCCAAGGTGAGGTTCCGTCGTTCGATGGCAACGGGCAAACTGCTTTTTGAAGTGAAACTTGTTGGAACTAGCGTTGGATGACTCCGTGGCGCAGTTACCAAGGTATTGGCTTCGGCGCCATGGGTCGTGCGTTCGATTCCCGCACGGGACAACTATTTGTGTGACCCTATCATGGAGGGCAATGTTGCGTTAAACATCCAACGCTCCCGGGGAGGGGGAATAGGAGGAGACAGAGCTAGAGTGACTGCGTGGCACTCGAAGTTTCACTTCCTTAATTTTTTTTTGTGTGAGAAGGTGGCAAGCGAGCTGAGACACCTGATGTAAGTTATGAGCGCCGCATATGGACGTTTGCAACAACCATGGGGTTGTAGACGCATTACTACATTTTTATAAAGTGGGGTGGTGCTAACTCACTAGGAAAGGCAGAGTGTATGTATAACACTTACACTCCAAGTCAGTTTTCTGTGAGGTAATGGTATTTACCCGGACTGACCTACCCATTCGTGCATCAGCCGCGTTTGTTGCGTGGCCCTAACTCGGTTAGATCTTATCTCACCTAATGACTACTACTAAACTATTAGGAGCTTCTACGTTGTTTTAAGGTGGATGCAGTAGAGTCGTTACTCCGTGAATGATAGTCACAACCCAGCACATTTATTCGCGTAACAGGAGTCTCAGTAAATTTTTTAAACTTCTTTCTGTAATTCAAGTCTCCCTGGTTGCTTCGGTTGTGCAGTGAGTTGTATCCTTTTAAATAACGTGCTCGTAGGTGAGCTCGTTGAAATTTTCGTATCAATTACGTAGCGAGTCTTACAAAATCTAAAAATGTTATACCGTAAGGAATTTTTTTTAATGCCTTTTTATTTGGTATCGTTCCGTACCGAATGTTCCGGTTGACTAATAAACAATTCAAGGTCTGAAATTATTTGTGAGGATGACTATTTAAATTTTGAAGTTTTCATTAGTTTCATGTACCGATTTGATTCTATATTTATTTGCTCATTCTAGGTAAACAGTGTTGACGAGATATTCATGTCATGTCAATTTCAATTACCTTTTTTGCTTCGAAAACAAGCCAAGTATAATTTATCAGGCTTCGAAATATACCGAAATTATCATAACTTCAGTAGTTTCAGACGAATAAATTTACTTGAAGGTTGCAGTTATCTTTTATTTAAGCGCGCGCTCGTGACAAAACCTTGTTGTTTTTTTGCGATTCCTCGAACTTGTTCGCTTCTTATTTTTACGACAGACTTATTTATCAACCGACTTCAAAAAAGGAATAGGTGGTCTATTCGGTTGTTTTTTTTGTTTGTTACCTCCAAACTTGATCATTTATGAAACAACTAGCTGATCCCGCGAACTTCGTATCGCCCAGCAGGACAATGAATGTCGTGTTACCTTTTACCTTTCACTACCTATTCGGATATGTTCTGTTAATAATGTGATATATCGAGCCCAGATTATAAGAATGTATTGGATATTCTATACTGTATGAAACCACTGGTTCGCATGAAACCGCAAGGACAGATTGATTTCATCCCCAGACGCGCCCAGGTCACGTATCGTAACTTTCTACCTAGGTGTTATTAGCATCGGCGACAGTCCAGTCTCAGAATTTTGACGTGAATATTATGGAGCTAGGGTCAAATACCTATATCTAAATGTAGATAGAATATGAGAATAGCCATCATTTGTGTCACCAAAACTTGGAACAGTTTAATTATGTACTTTTATTACAAATTTACAAAGACTGCTGTTGTCTTTCAGACTTTCTTTTCAATTTGTCAAGCTATATTACAAATTACTGTAATACATTAAAGAACCGATAACCGAAGGGGAAGAAAGGTTCTCGAGTGGCAGTCCCGTATTGGTCAGTGTAGGACGCTCCCCCCCCCCCTAGATGGAGTGGTGACCTGTGGAAGTGTGCGAAAAGTCGATGAATGCAGGTGGCTCAGGAACGAGTTTCGTGGTAGTTCTGTGGTGGGGGAGGCAAGTGTTCAGAAGTAAAATAGACCAGGCTGAAACGATGATAAAGCACTATTTAAATATGCGAACCATAATATTCGATTAAATTACAAGGCGGCATTCAATTTTAAATTGCCTCATTTTTTGTACAGCCAGCGATTACGTAGTTATATTATGTATTGTTCTTTTCGCATTTTTATAGTGCGCCGTTGCGCCCAAGCACTGCTTAAACTTTTCATGCATATTTCTACAAATTTTAATATTATATTAATTATGACAATACTATTTTAATATCTAAGATTGTAATATTCGTAACCTTACAGGTGAAATCGGTGTACACTTTCGAAGGCAACACCCTGAAGCAGGTGCAGAAATGCCCTGACGGCCTTGAAATCAACTACATCAGGGAATTCGGACCTGAAGAGATGAAGGCTGTAAGTATAATGTTAAACTTATAGCGTAAATCCGGTATTCAAGCGGCGTATGGCTGTTTAATGTCAAAAGTAATAGTTTCATTGTAATTTTTTATACATGGTTGATCACCTTTATTACCACGTTTTCGTAATTACTGCTTCGAACATTCTACTGAAAGGAAACTAAGACTAATAAATATTATAACTTGTCTAAATAAAAAAAATTATAAAATTAAAAAAAAATAAAATTTTATAAAAAAGAAATGATTGAGGTGATGCACTTATTTTCTTTAACATTGTTGCTATATATTTAAATCCTTCTAACTATTAAAATACTTATGTAAAAGTCACAATGTTGATATTATGGATTGAGTCATTTATTCTAATAGAACACTTTCGTTACAGGTGATGACCGTCAAGGACGTAACTTGCACCCGAGTGTACAAGGCCCAGTAAATTCGACCTGGAAGAAGACTGCAGGGCGGTCGCCCTACAAATTGTCCTATTATATTATTTTATATACCTACTTAGCACAACTTTTTTCCAAAATGGCCCCCCCAAGTTTTTTTGGCGCGATGATTCTGCACGACTGTTGAAAATAAACTCTAGGGTCGTACAGCTTTAATTTCCAGAGCTTGGTGTTTAGGGCGCTGGGTTTTTGAAACCTTACTACATTTGTTGTATAAGTTTTTCATTTCATATTTAATTAAATAAAAAAAAATAGTTTTTTTTAATTGTCTTTTTATTTCTAAAATAAATAAACAACTACGACCACCATCTCATAGTTTCATAATATGTCCTATATAACTTTTAAGGACAAATATTTTTAAAAGGAAAGAAAGACCACTGACTGTGAACTGATCATGTAAATAATCTTGTAGTTTATCTGTTTGTGCGAGTTTGACCTAATGTTTGTCAATTTTTTTTTTAATTTATTTGTATAAAAAAAGAAAATTACAAACTTAATAAACTGATACAAACATAAACTCATAAGAGTTTTACCGTGTAACAGTATCATCAATCGTGTATACATAGTTACTACCATAAAGCACAAATCACCATTTAACAAGACTAATATTAAGACGAAGATAATTTGAAAAATAGTAAAAAATTAATACAGTGGGTAGATACTAATATAAGTGGACGTAATTCGTCCGACGTGTTATTCAATTTGAAAAAACGTTTAAAAGCTGTATTATAAGAATACCTTATTAGTTATGGAGGGTAGAGGTAAGGAACGTTGCCATACGGGGGAACAGCTACCAGCTGTAAGCAATAAATAAGAATTCCAAATCCCTCCAGAAGCGCGCCAGAGTAGTAGAGAGTGTGATTATTTACCTTGTTGAATTAAAGTGTACTACTATAATCATCGAATCATTTTTTTTACTAGTAATCATGGTAACAACCCGCATGCTACTGTAGCGTCACCAATTTATCGCCTTTCGACGGACACTTGTACATAGAGATTGTTCTCATAAATCTATCAGAAAATGTAAAAAAGCTATTTTACAGTATGTTGCATATTGTTGCGTTGATAGTTCTTTATTTTACAGTATGTTGCAACATGTTTTAGTCTTTTTTATTAACCCCTTGTCCAGAAGGGGTGAGTTGGTCCGGAATCGTTCGCGCGTACAGAAAGAGCGTACGCGCGCGCGTGCATTTGGGCACGAAACATGTAGTTTAGAAAGTTTTTGATAGACTAAATGCCTCATTCTCGTACATATAATATGAAGTAAACGTGTTGAACAAATTTCTGACAATGGTTTTTGGACATTAAGTTTTTAAAATTTCCAACTTTCAAACGCCGGTTTTTTCTTTCAAGAATTCCGTGTCAAAGTTTTGGCTATCCATTTCCCTCGAGTCGAGAGTCACAATTCGCGGTGAGGGTACAGGCTGCTGTAGATTAATATAATAAAGTTTAGCAAATGGGCTAATTGTAGACATATATATATATATATATATATATATATATATATATATATATATATGTGTGAAGTCCGCCAATCCGCAGTGGGGCCGCGTGGTGGACTATGCCCTTACTTTACTTACTTTTTATTCATCTAGTTTTTAAATTATATCTCAAGCAGATGCCCCAACAAACACATTCTCCATTGGAAAATAAGATGGTTTTTAATTTCTATAGCGAATCATCCTTCTTGGAAGGAGTTTGTTTTTTTGCATGGATGTATATAATTTATTATGCTATCAAACTTGATGTTACTATTGGGAAGATTAAAAAGGTGTAGTCGTAGACAAAACAAAGTCTTCGTAGGCTTTTTATTGCTCTTTCTGTTTTTCATATTCACCATGAAACTTGAACACTCCTGGGATGTGTATATTACATTTGACAGATATGTATTAGATGTATATTACATCTTTTTTTAGCTCAAACAATGTTCCTGAGGGTCGACGTCAGTCAGACTAGATGTAAAAAAATCTAGCTGACCCCACATAGGCACCTAGGCGGACTAAGGGCGGTAAAAAGAAGAAGAATACTTTTTGTAAAATATTGTTATTAACTTATTACCATATTAATAAACGGACTATGATCAGTGAAAACAATGCAAAACTCGGTACGGATATCTTAATAAAGTGTAATTAGGCACTAAGTTTGAAATCTGTGTTAAGGCCGTTACGTATTCATTATAAGATCAAAAATTATTGTGGTATTTAAATATATTATATTATGCCGTATTACAAAGAATTCTAACAAGGAACTATTTCGATTTCGAACCAAATTATAACAGATGTGAATAAACTTATCTGTTAATACTGCCACCTAGCAGTTTAATAAAAGTCCTATCAGCGATATAGAGAAAAGGTAACATTTCAGATTGCTGTCCATAGATGTCACATGTATGTATAAAAATGACATGCCAGTAGAATTAAAATTACATTAGTTATGCTTATCCCAGTACATAGATATTGTTATGGTATTTTTAAAGATAAAATATTTACATGATTGTGAAATAAGTCAGTTATTAAAACTAATATTAAATAACGCCATCTTTTATTTAAAAATGCAAGTACATCGAACATATACCGCTTGCTATTTCTTTCGTTGAAAAGTAATATTATTACTATTAATATTAAAAAAAATTTAAAATTATGTATTTTATCTTACAGGGGTATAAAAACTACAGTATATTGCATGCATTTTGATCATTCTTTATTTTGAAATTGATTTGCCTTTTTACTGTTTCTGAACGCAAGCAACACTTTGAGCCTACGGTCGGCTTATAATGCTCCAAATTTTGATAGTATTACAAGTTATACCGTTCGCCTTGAAACTTTTCACACACTCAAATGAAACAGGTTTTAGTTTAGTTCCGTTTGTGGTGGCCGGTCGTTGCCTGTACTGTGCTTAATACTTAGTTTATTCGAAGCGTGTCAATATTGAGTACCTACGTTTGGATACCGCCTATGGAACGCGATTTACGACATCTGTCAAGTTAAACAGATCTCTGGAATCCAGGTTTAAGTACAGCCCTTCATGAAGAAGGTGGATTTTTGTAATATCAGTGTTGTTACGATGGTGGTGCGTGATATACAATGGTTTTAGTTTTGAAATATTAAAGCTATACGTGTATAATGATAGGAATTTGTAGTGTTGTTGTATTTGGAGTGTAGTTCACTGAAGGTGTCTGGTAAGGATTCGACACCGTTGCTTTTGTGGATTAAAAATACGCACAAGTAAGTAAATATTTACATTAGAAGGCTGGCGTAACATGTAAAGAATTCAAAGCAAAACTGCGGTTTGCAATTTTGCTGTTGTTTGAAATTACAACTCTGCTTTAACTCTTGTGTATTGATTTTAAAGTGTATTCCTAGGCTATTATAATAAAAATTTATTTGAAGCTAACATTTCACGGCTTACAACTTATATACTACTATTTTTATTTAAGTTACATTTGTTTTGAAATCATATTTCAATGTAATGCAAGAAGGTACAATTTTTAAGTGACAAGTTTTAATAATCATTATAGTTATATATCACATAAATAATATTCTTTTAATATTATTATCACTTTTGTTTTATTAATTTGTTGATTCATTTTCAGAAATTGCATACATACTAAACTAAAATTTTCTACATTTCATGATGCTAATTATAAACATCCTAGTGTATTCTTAATGGCCATCAAAATGGGTTTTATTCTTGTGTTAATATTGGTGCTTTTAAAAAAAATAGATATGTTACTGAAAGTAATATAAATCTATTTTCTTAAAATTATGAGAGATACGGGTTTTAATCATTATTCTGACATGTGTAATCAACTATAATATAAGAAATTTCAATAATTAATATAGTCATTGTGGTAGACTATATTAATTATTGAAATTTCTTGAAGCTTTAAAGTTGGTGAATAGTATTACTAAAATTTTGAAGCAATTTAATGAGTAAGGTTTGGAATATAACATTTTGATGTTTGTTGTACGCAGTATAGAAGTGTTTTAATAATTTGAGTCTTATAATGAAACTCATCTTAATCTTTAATTAAAATACCTGAGATTTATGTTTCTAGGAGGCTTGAAATACATTTACATTACACAGGATATTAACAATATTGTTACACGGGCGTATATTTAGAAGGAAAAATTATTGATAAAAATTATTCTTCCTTTGTTCCTTTATTCCTTATTTATTATCCTTCATTAAACTATAAATATATATTTTTTTACAATATCATAACTTTACACCTTTGTGTACCACTTTTTTATGCTTTAAAATGTAATGGTACACCACTTTTAAAGCTTTAAAATATAAAATGAATTAGAATGTTCTTCCAAATTTTGTATTTCTGATACTCTATTTTTATATTTATGTTATAACTAGCTCATACCAATTTCCTCCTTTATAAATAAATCTATATTTATTGTATTGGATTTTTGATAATTTTTGTACTCATGTACAAGTTTTAGAAGTATTTATTATTTTTATTTTATATATTTATTTAGAAGTATACCTATTTCCGAAATCCTGATCTAAATTGATGACAAAGTTACCTATTGCTTCGAATATAGGCATCCACGTACAAAATTTCTTGCGTCGCCTTATTGCTTTTTGGTCCTGTGGAACGTCGCGTCTCGACGCGGGAGAGAGGGCGCGCAGGGGCCCAATCGATATCACGTCCCGCCCTATCAGCTGAGAGCTACGTATACACGGATATAATCTCGCGGATCCGCTAGAGATCCATTCCGACCGGATGTATTGATCCCTAAAGTGTCTTAAATGAACGACTTACTCATCGTGCTCAATACTGCATAGTATAAAACAAATTCGTCCCGCTGTCTGTCTGTCCCTATGTATGCTTAGATCTTTAAAAGTACGCAACGGATCTTGATGCGGTTTTTTACTAGATAGTGTTTTAAGAGGAAAGTTTATATGTATAATTCATTACAACCGTGCGATGCCGGGGCGGGTCACCAGTGTTAATATATTGTTCATTCCG